GAGTTCCTGCCCACTCATGAGTAAGGTGGCCTACTCAGGGGACACTGCTACAGCCAGGCATGGGTGGGTGTGTAAGCACAAGTGCACATGTGAGCGGAGGGGTAGGGGGATACTCTGTGGTACTGCAGGATGGGGGCAATGTGAGAGTGACCAAAGCTGGGGCAGCCATCAGCTTGGAGCTGGGGGCACAGAAAGGCATCTGAATGACGACATGGGCCGTACGAGAGCCCCCCTCGCCACAATGGCGGCCCAGACACCACCTAGACCCTGCCAGGCCCAGCACCCTGTGGTCCCCACCCTGCGGACTGCTCAGCCTGGCAGTGTTCCTTTGCAGCCTCCTGCCAGCACAGCCAGCCCCCAGCCCCCACTAGTGTCCATGCCAGAGCAGCATTCCGCAGGCCTGGCTGCATCTCCCCAGCAAAGACGGAGCAGGGCGGCCTCTCAGCAGCCATCAGGCCACACGGCTGGGGGACACAGTGGGACCTAGGCCTCTGGGCCTGTCACATTAAAGGATTTCATCAATGCAGCTGCGGTACGGGTTCTTGCATCTCCTGCCCTGGGTGGCCCTGGGCAGCCAGAGGCAGCCACCAGGTAGGGGTCAAAGGGGTCGACCAGAACCAAGTTCTGGAGGCACAGACCAAAACAAACCCTGAGCTGTCCTGGGGTGGGGCGGGGGGCGGCCAGGCTAGTTGTCGATCCTAGACTCACCCTAAGGTCTGAGCAGCCCAGGCCAGAGGGTGGGGATGGTGAGGCGGCTAGGATACGGGGGCTCGGTCCCTCAGTGTGAGGTCGCTCAGGGGAGCAGGTGTAAACCTTTCCTGCAGCTGTTTGTGGGGGCCGGGGGGACGGTGGGGTGGGGGAGCCCAGCCTACCGATTTCAGGGCCGCCTCCTACTCCGACCCCGCCTCTGTGGCGCAGCCGGAGGACACCGAGGTTAGACTCCGGAACGAACTTCCCGGAGGAAAGGGGGCTCGGCGCGGGAGGGTGAGGCCGGGGTCCGTCCGCTAGGATAGGAGCGGCGGGTCCTGGCCAGGGGCCCCGGCGGCCCGAGGAGGGGCGGGCTGCACCGGGACGGCGCGCACCACGCGTGTCCGCGGCCCCCGCCGGCGCGCAGGGCGGCCTGGCCCTTTAAGCGTCCAGACGGCGGCCCCAGCTGACGCGCGGGCTCCAATCGGCGCCCCGCGCCCCCCGCCCGCCGCGCCCGAGGCTCTGGGGCCGCAGCTGCTTGGCGGCTGGACTCGCCGCGGCCCTGCGCCTCAGCCCGCCCGGCCGCGCCCCCGGGGGCCATGGTCGCTGGGCCCTGCGCGGGGGCGGCCCCCAGCGCTGCTCTTCATGGAGCGGCCCCGGCCCGGCCGCCGGGGGCAGCGCGATCCCGCGGGGCCCTGTGAGCCCCCAGCGCCACGGCACCATGGTACGCAAGGCCCTGCCTGTCCCCCCGCTTATCCGCCCACCTGCGCGCTCCGCCCTCTGGAGCGCACGGCCGGCCGGCTCGGGGTGGAGGGATGTGAGGGATCTTACCCCTCTCCGGGGTCTCCCCGACCCCTTCTCTGGGTCCTTGCGGGCTGGGAATGCGGCGCTCTGACGCGGCCGTCGGCGGGGAAGGGGTTAAATTCCTGGGGTTGGGGCCCGGGCACGAGAGGCTGAGGTCCTGCTAGGCACTGGCGGAGGGGGGCGCTTCTCTGAGCCCGGACGGCACCGCCCTCGGACTGGGTGATGGGGGGGAGGGAGGAGGTCGGATTCCCGCCTGGGCCTTGGGCCACGTGGGCGCTGGAGACGCCCTGCCTGGGGATTCGGGGCTCCTGGGCCGAGCGGAATGTGGGGGACGCCTGCAGCTCGGGTCCAAACTCCTGTGTGACCTTGGGCCGGTCTCCCACCCTCTCTGGGCCTGTTTCTCGGGAAGGACGGATGGCCTGAGTTGAGAGGAGGCTGGCATAGACACCTCCTCCCTGAAAGGAGGAGGCTGGAAGTCATGAGCCTGTGCCCCCTTGCTCAGTCTGGGCCCACCCACTGCTGCCCAGCGATGGAAGGATTGACATGGGAGTAGGGTGTGCAGATGGACGCCCAGGTTTCATCCTAGGGCCTCCAGGGAGGTGCCAGGGCAGGGTAGGAATCTGGTGGTTTCGTGACAGTGAGGCAGAGTGCCCCTTAGGAGTAGAAGGGTCTGACCATGGTAAGGCAGCCTCGGCAGGTGTCCCTGGCACCTGGCCTTCCCCCAGCCTGGCTTGGGGGGAGGGTTGAGGGCATGAAACGCCCTGGCAACGGAAGTGCCTGACCACTCCCCTGGTCTTGTATCTTAGCTGGGCTGGCCTGGACTTGGGGGTGGGGTGTGTGGCTGCAGCTGGCACAACCAGATGGGGAGGGGCATCTGCAGCTTCAGGGAACTAGCACAACTGGCCGGAGAGGCAGACACAGCTGGTGGCCCTGTGTGGGAGGTACTAGGCTAGGGGGTAGCTGCGCCCTGCTGAGGGGCTGCCAGTTATGGACTCAGGCAGCATCTATGTGCCCGGTCAAGGGAGTCCAGTCAGGCTGCCTTGTTGTAAGGTTCTTGGGCCCCTCAAGGGCCAAGGATGGTGCTGGCTTGGCTGGGAGTATTGCCTTGGAAACGGAGTCTTTGGGGCAGCACTAAACCCTAGACTAACCTTTCTTCCCCTGCTGAGGCCAGAGGGGTCCTCACTGGATCCTGGGACCAGATCTGCACAAGGGAAGTGTCGGGCATTGCCCTTGCCCCATGGCAGGCAGGCACTGGAGGGCATTCTGTGAAGGGGGAGCAGTGGACCAGAACCCCGTGCCCTAGGGTGGGTGCCCCACAACAGGTCCGACATTGCCAAGTCCTTATCCAAGCCACTGCCTGGCCCCTGGAGGCCCTGAGGAACACGTTACAGCCAATTGCACCCTGACCCCTCACCGACTCGCAGGTGGCAGCAGCTCTGGGAAGGAGGGTGCAGGTCGCCGGAGGTGGTGATGGGGTCTGGGGAAGCACAGCTGGTCCCCTGGGTGGGAGGGTCCCCACATGCCTCATCCTGCTTTTTAAGTCATTAAAGGCCAAGAAATAGTTCCACGTGGAATAGTGTCTAGTCCAGCACAGATTGGGTGGCCTTAGCAGAGCTAAGAGTCTAGGGGCTCTGCTCCTGCTTGCTGTGGGACCCTCCCATTCTGAGCCTCAGTTTCCCCATCTATGTAATAGGGGTTGGTCCCAGAAGATGAATCACAATGAGTCAGTGGATGGAGATGGGAGGGGGTTGGCATCTTATCCCCACTAGATTGGTCAGGCCTGGACGGGCCAGCAGCCCCGAGACAGACGAGCAGATGGGTGGCTGCTTGGCTGGGGGGAAGCAGGTGTTGGGGGAGAACTCAAGAGAGATGGTGGTGAGGTGGGGGTGGGGGGAGCATGGGTGCTGTCCTGGGCTGCTGGATGTGAAGGGTGAAACCCAGGGCATATCTGTCAGCAGGTTGCCCCTGGAGGCTCCCTGAGGCTCATCCCAAGGCCCAGGGCAGGTCCTCTCATCCAGGTGACCGGACGGACTGGCATGAAGGGGAGGGGTGGGTTGTGGATGCACAGGACTGGGGTTTCATCCCAAGGCTTCCAGAGAGGTGCACGGTGTCAGGGAGCTGATGTCTTTGCAGTGCAGCAAGGTACCCTCAAATGTAGGAGGCTCTGACTTAGCTGGACAGGGCCTGAGGAGGGCCAGAACCTGGAACCTGCGGGGCTGGTCCAGCCAGGCGGGTAGTCGACAGATGTTAATTGAACATCTGCTGTGTGCTGGACCCATGCAAGGGACTGGGCAGCCTGGCTGTCTGTGCTGCCCACCTTTTGGGGAAGCCACTGTGGTGCGACCAGGAATAATTACTTCGGGCAATTCACAGGTACTGGATGTGGCCCAAGGGTCTAGGAATCTGACCCATCAGACCCAAGGGCCTCCCTCAGGCTCCAGAAGCCCCCAGTGGTGTGACCTCCATGACGAGGCCATCTCGGAACCTCTGGGCCTGGACCACACCTGACCCTGGGGTCTGGGGGCCTAGAGAGAAAAGGGTTTGGGACAAGCCTTAGGGGCCTCCTGCCTCAAGCATGGTGGACAGGTAACACAGCTGTGTCCTTTGCCTCCACAGAACCTTTCTGTGGTGGGGAGCTGCTGCTGCCAGGCCTGAGGGCACAGGCAGCAGCCTGGCCCAAGCTCTGGCCGAGGAAGGAGGGGACAGCTGGACCTCACCAGCCTCCTCCAACAGGGCAGTGGGACCACGGGCCTGGATTTCTTCACAACGGTCTCTGCCTCTGCAAGGCCTCAGGCCTAGACCTTGAGGGCTGCTGTGGGTGAGCTGAGGGGTTCCCTCAGGTGTCGCCCCCGGGGTGCAGTGGCCAGAGGCAGAGCAGTGAGCCGGTGAGCCCGACCTGTTCTTGAGCTGTCTGCGCTTAGGCAGGCTTGGCTTTATTTGTATGTGAGTGAGTGTGGAAGAGAGGATCCACGGGGCCCAGAAATGGTGAAGGGATGCCTCTGGGGATGATTCTGGGGAGACAACCCAGTCCTGGTTTGCTGGGGTCGGCCCTGGCTTTAGCATCAAAAGTCCCGCATCCCAGGAAACCCCTAGGTTCCTGGCCCACCTGGACAGTTGGTCACCCTTGAACCTTCTCCTTCCCCTTTCTTCCTCTTCCCCTCCCCTTCCCGGGACGACTTCTCCCATTTCACAGTGGAAGAGGTGGAGGCCAGGAAAAGTTAACCACTGACCCAGGGGCTGACATGCAGCCTCAGAAGGTCACGACCAGAGTTTGAGCTCTGAGGAACAGCAGACTCGGGCTTGAATCCTGGTTCCCCCTCGTCCTTGCCTGGGCTTCGGCACCTTCCCTGTGACGTGGAACCAGGCGTGATGGGTGGGTGGCCACCTTCCAGATGGCCTTGACCTGACCTGTGCCCTCTGCCCCACAGTTGCTGGTTGAGAAGACGACGGACTCACCGGCGGCCGAGTTCTCGCTGGTGGAGGACGTGGCGCTGCACTTCGCCTGCTTGATGGGCCGCCTGAACGAGCAGCGCCTCTTCCAGCCTGACCTGTGCGACGTGGACCTGGTGCTGGTGCCGCAGCGCAGCGTCTTCCCGGCCCACAAGGGCGTGCTGGCCGCCTACAGCCAGTTCTTCCACTCACTCTTCACCCAGAACAAGCAGCTGCAGCGCGTGGAGCTGTCCCTGGAGGCGCTGGCACCCGGCGGCCTGCAGCAGATCCTCAACTTTATCTACACGTCCAAGCTGCTGGTCAACGCAGCCAACGTCCACGAGGTGCTCAGCGCCGCCTCGCTGCTGCAGATGGCCGACATCGCCGCGTCCTGCCAGGAGCTGCTGGATGCCCGCTCCCTCGGCCCCCCGGGCCCCGGCGCCGTGGCCCTTGCCCAGCCGGCCGCCAGCTGCACCCCGGCCGCACCGCCCTACTACTGTGACATCAAGCAGGAGGCCGACGCCCCGGGCCTGCCCAAGATCTACGCCCGTGAGGGCCCTGACCCCTACTCGGTGCGCGTTGAGGACGGGGCTGGGGCCACAGGTGGCACGGTGCCTGCCCCCATCGGGCCGCCTCAGCCCTTCTTCAAGGAGGAGAAGGAGGGTGGCGTCGAGGAGGCCGGCCGGCCGCCGGCGAGCTTGTGCAAGCTGGAGGGGGGTGAGGAGCTGGAGGAGGAGCTTGGGGGTTCTGGCACCTACAGTCACCGGGAGCAGTCCCAGATCATCGTGGAGGTGAACCTCAACAACCAGACGCTGCACGTGTCCACAGGGCCCGAGGGGAAGCCGGGCGCCGCCACAGGCCC